AATTTTTCTCCTTATTTTTCTCTCTTAAGAGTGTTTATGGAGAAGTTTGTCTAAGAGATCTTTTGTTATAAACTTGTAATTTTTATTTTCTTTACTTTTTAACTGCTACTTGGTAAAGTTAGTAACTCTGATTTAACTTGTACTGTATGCTGTTTTTTCCACTTGTTTCAGATACTTCCAGTTATGTTAGATGTTGGTACAAACAATGAAAAGCTACTCAAAGATCCCCTTTGTGAGTATAACTCAATTCTGCTCCTCATTTCTATGGTTATTGTTTGTCTCACTTTTTCATTTACATGGGTATGTTTGCTTTGTAAAGTGAGGAAGATGTCATGTTTTCCAGTATCCTAGATTTTGTGGTTGAGTAATATAATCTTGTAACTAATGAATGACTTTTCTGCTTTATTTAGCTAAGTTTATCTAATTATATTATGCTCCAATGATGAGTTGGAGTGGGATTTTTCAATTACTTTGACATTCTTGATCTCTTGAGCATACAAAAAGATAATATGGTAATTCCACGTATTTGACATCATGAAAGTTACTGTATTCTGACATGATTCTCGTTTGTCAGATTTAGGAGTTCGACAGCCTAGGTTGGAAGGTGAAGAGTACCTATCGATTATTGATGAATTCATGGAAGCTGTACACGCTCGATGGCCTAAGGCTATTGTTCAGGTTTGCTTTTCTTTTACAACGTTTTTCTCTCTGTTCAGTTTATAATTTACTTATCTAGTAACCGGATAATTAGCTTATTTTTTCAGTTTGAGGATTTCCAAATGAAGTGGGCTTTTGAAACCCTTAAACGATATAGACAAAGGTTTTGCATGTTTAATGATGATATACAGGTAAGAAAGTGATATTATATTTTGTTACATTTAAAATGTTCAAGGTGCTAAGTAATGCGTTATTTTCTTGAAGTGACTTCTAAAGCGTGCATTTTTTCTTCATTTCCATTGTTTAATAGGGCACCGCCGGTGTTGCACTTGCTGGGCTATTGGGAACTATAAGATCCCAAGGTCGACCATTGTCTGATTTTTTGAAACAAAAGATAGTTGTTGTTGGAGCAGGGAGGTACTTGCAAAACTAATTTTGATGTATCTTTGTTGGGTATCCAGTTTGTTTCGTTGTTCTATCATGCTCCTTATATTATTATTTTCTGCTTAAATCTTGCTGCCAAAATTCTGTTATACGTGTCACTTTTTTGCCTGATGGGCAGTGCAGGGCTTGGTGTTCTTAAGATGGCTGCCCAGGCTGTTTCAAGAATGTCAGGGGGCAGTGGAACTGCGGCCACTGCTAACAGCCCATTTTTTTTAATTGATAAAAATGTATGCTTTCTTGCTCTTTGCTTTCAGTGTGCTTTAAGTTGCAACTCAAATAAAAATTGTATTCGTAATAATATATTATCTGGATCCCTCGTGATTTTGACTCAACTTTTTGTTATCCAAATATCTTCATTTTTTATTTTCATATTCTGTCTTAAATTCTCTTCATTTATATGACTAACATCGTCATACATATTTTCTTTTTGACATCCTCTTTTGGATTCTTTTATTTCTGTGCATGCTTATTTTTTCTATTTTTATTATGATAATCTTTAATAATGATGTGATTGTTGAATGTAGGGTCTTGTCACCACGGAAAGGAGCAATCTAGATCCAGCTGCTGTTCCATTTGCCAAAAATCCAAGAGATCTTGAAGGTCTTACAGAGGGTGCTAGTATAATTGAAGTGGTAAATGCTACGGAATTTGTTTGAGAAAAACTTCATTCACTTCGATATGTTATTTATTTTACATTTATATCATAATGAACAATTATTTTTGTGTAAGAGTAAATTAAATAATACTTATGAAGAATAAAAAAATGCATTCTAATTGATATCCATATTTCATTTGTTGAACCTAATGGTCCTTAGGTTAAGAAGGTTAAGCCACACGTGCTACTTGGATTGTCTGGAGTTGGTGGTGTTTTTGACACGGAGGTAATTACCTTATGTTTATTCCTCAGTTAAGTATATTTGATTAAGTGAAATACACATGCTTTGAAAAGATTTCTTGTTTTAATATCTTTGGGTTCTGCTTCCTTCATTTTATTGTAATTGGTTTTCTTCAATTTAATGGTTGAGATTCAACTCAGGTGCTCAAGGCAATGAGAGAATCTGCTTCAACAAAACCTGCTATCTTTGCAATGTCTAATCCCACCGTGAATGGTTTGTTTGTACAAGGCTTATTCAGTACGGACAATTGCTTAATTATGTCCATGTTTTTCATTTTGACACTTGTTTCGTTGTCACTGGGACAGCTGAGTGCACTGCTATTGAAGCTTTCAGTCACGCTGGAAAAAATATCGTTTTTGCAAGTGGAAGCCCTTTTGACGATGTAGATCTCGGTAATTATCATTCTGTAATATGATTAATTGGTTTTGGAAGTATGCTTGTCAAGTTCGAAGCCGCGGAGGCTTTTTGTCGTAGGAAGAATCTTGTTTCTTTACATTTTTGACGTTCATTTCAATATTATGTTTTACCATAGCCTCCAAATGAATTTTTGTACAGGAAATGAAGTTGGCCATGTCAATCAAGCCAACAATATGTACCTATTCCCAGGGTAAGCGTGCCTTTGTGGCTCTATATTTATTTTTTTCACAAATCATGCACTCAGTGGAAACATTGGCGTAATTATACTGCAACATTTCATTCAGGATTGGTTTGGGTACACTTCTATCCGGTGCTCGTCATATAACAGACGAAATGTTGCGAGCAGCAGCTGAATGGTATATTTAATTTGTACAGTTCTTTTGTTCCAACAAAAGCTATTAGACTCGATTTCAATGGAAGTTTAGTGAATTATTTTCTTGATGTTTGTAGGGCTGCTCCCGTGTTAGGCATAACAATTGAGCAGTCTGACCTTGTATTCTGTGTTGTCTAAATCATTTTATCTGTTCTGTGCCTACTTTAAAAAGCTTATAATACGTTTTCTGGGTGTACATTGCCGCTCATTAATAAATAACTTCCCCCCTGATGAGATGCCACTTTGGGCCTTTTTAAATACATTACTAACTTGCTGCTATCCTCTCAGCCTTGCTTCATATATGACAGATGAGGAGGTCCAAAAAGGAATCTTGTTTCCATCTATTGACTGGTAACGTTCCTTTTTTTCCTTGTTACGACTTGTTTTCATTTTCTCACGGCTCTCCTCTCCTTTTCCATGGATCCTTTCTGAACCACTATGAGAATTAAAATTTAATCTGTATAGACACTAAAACTGATTCTTGGAATGTATATTGGATTTGGATGCCATGTACGGTACTAAATCTAACAATATAGTTTTGGTTTACTGATCTCTTAACAAAGATGTTCATTGTGGCCTTCTGTAATCGAATGGTACCTTGTTTGGCAGTATTCGGAATGTTACAGCTGAGGTTGGAGCTGCTGTTATTGGTGCTGCGGTTGCAGAAAATCAGGCTGAAGGATATGGTGATATAGGGTTGAGAGAACTAGCAAACATGTCAAAAGTATGTAAATTTCAGATTTCTCATATTCTGGTTGAGTGTATTGTTAATTTTGCATGGTGTGAGCGGATAGTGAAGTTTTGAAGATTAAATACAGTTGCAGTTTGCGTCTAAATATTGCAAATTGACTAGTTCCCATATTTTGTGCTTTAGTTCTCAGCATGTCGATGGCAACTTGGTATGATGTATATTCTGCTGCTGGTAACTGATGCTTGTTGGTTTGGTTGCAGGAAGATACTGTGGAGTATGTGCGAGGCAATATGTGGTACCCTGAGTATAGCCCCCTTGTTCATGAAAAATGAAATTGTTTGAAGGAAGGCCTTTTGGTTTGCTATTTTTCATTTTTTATCTTAGCTATTGATGACTAGCAAGGTTTTGATAGTTGAAGTTGTGAGAAGGGGAAAAGGCCGCGTAGGCAGTGAATTCTCTGTGTACTCCCTTTCTTTTTGAAGCTTCACTAGTATTATAGACAATTCTTAATTTCTGCTTCTCTAATCGCATCATTTGCTTTTTAACATTTACAATACTGAAAACCACGCATTCTTACAATCTGATTCACGTTACTAAATCATTTTTAAAATTTATTTCAAAGCTACCTATAGAGAGGTCGTGGACAATGATTTGTTTTCAAGAATATTAATAGAGTNGCAAATTTCAGATTTCTCATATTCTGGTTGAGTGTATTGTTAATTTTGCATGGTGTGAGCGGATAGTGAAGTTTTGAAGATTAAATACAGTTGCAGTTTGCGTCTAAATATTGCAAATTGACTAGTTCCCATATTTTGTGCTTTAGTTCTCAGCATGTCGATGGCAACTTGGTATGATGTATATTCTGCTGCTGGTAACTGATGCTTGTTGGTTTGGTTGCAGGAAGATACTGTGGAGTATGTGCGAGGCAATATGTGGTACCCTGAGTATAGCCCCCTTGTTCATGAAAAATGAAATTGTTTGAAGGAAGGCCTTTTGGTTTGCTATTTTTCATTTTTTATCTTAGCTATTGATGACTAGCAAGGTTTTGATAGTTGAAGTTGTGAGAAGGGGAAAAGGCCGCGTAGGCAGTGAATTCTCTGTGTACTCCCTTTCTTTTTGAAGCTTCACTAGTATTATAGACAATTCTTAATTTCTGCTTCTCTAATCGCATCATTTGCTTTTTAACATTTACAATACTGAAAACCACGCATTCTTACAATCTGATTCACGTTACTAAATCATTTTTAAAATTTATTTCAAAGCTACCTATAGAGAGGTCGTGGACAATGATTTGTTTTCAATAATATTAATAGAGTTTACTTGTAATGTTTTGAATCAGAAAAGTGACCTATCATTTAACTTACATTACTTCATTAGGCCTACCTAGAATTCACTCTTTAAGAATTAAATCAAATCTAAACTTTTATAGTAACTTCCTTGATTATAAAGGTAAAATAAAAACCTTTTGTGTAGTAGATTAACTTGTTAATAAAATGTCAATATTTTTACTATATTTGTTATAATACGATTCATTTATCTTGATTATTAAACATGTTGATTTACACAGGAATTTAAAATTATGAAATTATTCAAAGTTAAATTTATATTTTTGATTAAGATCTTGCTAAAAACTAGTTTTCTTACGTTATATATATATCTTAAATTCATCATAACATTAGTTGATCACGTTGGTTGGTTTATATCCATTAAATAAAAAATAACAAAATGACAACTAAAAGCAAAATCAGATCAAATCTTCTACATAAAAATAACATGCAAAATAATAAGATACACAAAAATAAGGAAGAGATAACCCAACAGAAGACACCAAAACTTTTTAATATTAGAAAACCTCAACATGGAGGAAAACTCCAGTAGACCTAATCTAATAAAATCTTTCATTAATAAGAATTAATAAATATACCTAAAATTCTCTTAGAACTTCCAAAGAAGAGAATATAAGATAAGAAAACTCCAATTAGTACTTAGCTAAAATAACATAAGAAATTTTGATACATGAGATGTGGAATAAAACATTTTTTCCAAGTTAGCTTTTTTTGCATAGAGTTGCACAGATACACTAATTACTCTTTTCTTCACTCTCTCGAGACTTTTTTTTTCTTCTTGTCTGACTCGAGGTGTTTACAGTTTGTGTCTATCTATCCCCTTCTATTTCCCTCCTAAAACCTGATGTAAAGGATTGTATAATTTTAAATTGCTTAATAGGTTGGAGTACATAAAGAAAAATGTCTCTTTTTCTTTTTCTCGATTAAGTTAGTGTGACTCTATAAATTGATAATTCATTTGAGATGTAGGATATCCAACATGACATCACTTTAAATACATGATAATTATGCATATATAAATACATTATTCTTCCTATTATAATGGCAAGAGAAAAATAATTAATTCATGGCACGTGACTCTCCTTTTATTTATCC